TTGGTAAGTACAAATACTAAAGTATAAGTACATTATTGACAGGATATACTGTTGATAAATATTTCGGGGGCAAAATACATTAACAGTGGGTACTGTGTGTGTGTGTGCGCTCTGATAAAGTTATCTTGAAGCATGTCAACGGTCTAATACTCTTTCCAAATATAAAATATTACAAAATAGAGGTTTTTATATAAGCATGGAAAATGCTATAACTAATATGCAATACTCCTCTCACAAAAGGAATTTATATGCGTGAAAGCACACATACTCTTACATTCATTTTGAAGACGGAGAGCGCAGCTGAAAGTCTGCAGAAATGAGCAGCCTTCTCGCTCTAGCTCTCATGCTAATTAGAATTGTGAGCAAATTTGTAACTGGAGTGGGAGCTGCAACAGAGGATTAGAAGAGAGAAAATATAGAAGAGGTCATACTCTGTAAATTCATATATACATATACATCTACATATACATGTTCATCTATGCATATTCATCACTTAACATACTTTTGCAGATCTTTGGCAGCAATTTGGCACGCGCTCTGTTGCTCGTCTATTGGACCATTATCTACCTGCGGCACAAATTGAATGTTGCCCGAATCGATGGCAATGGGTATGTCTAAGGCTCAAACTAATAGATTTTTGGCTAATTTTCATGATTGCTTCCAGCTGCATGCTAATGCGAGACAATGCGATAGGTCGCATATACCGTAGATATTTTCCCGTTCAATTGATCAAGACCGCCGACCTGCCGCCCAATAAAAACTACATAATAGCTAGCTTTCCACACGGCATACTTGGGTAACTACTTGCATTAAGATATCTTATCGATAATTTTTATAAATGATTATATTACTTACTTGCAGCACCGGCATTTGTATGAATATGGCTTTCGATATTGGCGTATGGTTCAAACTCTTCCCGCAGGTGCGCCCAAAGGTTGCTACGCTCGATCAACATTTCTACACGCCTTTCTTGCGTCATTTTATACGCTGGTGGTGGGGTCTAATCTCAGTGTCGAAGGAGTCGCTGATGTACTACCTCACCAAGTCGAATAATCCGCAACATCCCGACAATCGTGATGGCTTCACCTCCAATGCGGTAGCTATTTTGGTGGGCGGGGCACAGGAGGCGCTCGACTCAAATCCTGGTGAATATATTCTAACGCTCAGAAAGCGCAAGGGCTTCGTGAAGATGGCCGTGCGAACAGGGTAAATAGAGAGACGGCGAGACAAAAACTAACTGTATGACGCTTCCATTACAATCAACACTCTTCTCTCTCTCTCTCTCTCTCTCTCTCTCTCTCTCTGTCTCTTGTGAACAGTTCTGCAATTGTTCCCAGCTTTTCATTTGGCGAAGTTGACATCTTCCAGCAGGTGGCCAATCCGCCCAACTCGAAACTGCGCAACTTTCAGATTGCTGTGAAGAAGCGAACGGGTATAGCGCCGCTGATACCCTTGGGTCGCGACATCTTCCACTATCCATTTGGCGTTGTGCCTTATCGTCGCCCCATCACACAAGTTCGTAAGTAGACTGCAGCACCTGATCCTCATAGAAACAAGTGTACGAGATCTTTCATTGCTGTTTAGTTGGCGCACCAATTGAAGTGGTGCAGAGTGATGATCCCGATCCTGCCTATGTCGACGAGTTGCACGGCAAGGTAATCAAAGCACTGGAGGACATGTTTGAAGAATATAAAGGCAAATACTTGAAAGACCCGGAAACAAAACAACTAATTATAAACTGAGCACACTATTCAACTGTTTGGGACTGCCAACTCGTTCACAAAACATTCGGGCTTTGAGGATTTTCACATAGACGCGGACAAGGTCACACTTAAAGCTTTTCAAATAGCAAAATCATATTGTAACCCAAAAGAAACTTCAGGATTATTTAAGGTGCAATTGTTAGGGATTTTAAGTGTTTAAGCATTTGTTTACGCTTTTAGTATTAAGTTGTTAATTAGCAACTGTACACAATAAAAAGGGTTAGTTGGTTAATTTTAACGAAAGCGTATGTTCTTTTTATTAATATTATTATTAATTATTAAGTTACCAATTAAATTTGTTACGTCGTACATAAATTTTATATACAAAAAGAAAAAGGAGGAGGATTCGAAATTTCATATTTGGAAAACTTAACTAAATGGTTTTTTTTTTTAGTTTTTTTGTTTCTTAGGTGTTTTGTGCCATTAACTTTTCATTTTGTTTATATATATATTAGATAGGTTCTATGTACTAAATAGAAGTTTTTCCTTTTTGCTTTAACAATTAATAACTATAAGGAATTTGGTAAAAATACAATATTATGCTACACTAAATTCAATCGCAGAATCTTCAATTAAGGTACAATCAAATTTTTCTATCTTCCTTTCCTTCTTCCTTTTTTTTATTAGCAACAAATCACTTTTCGACTAAACAAAGTTTTACTAATGTTTTTTTTTTACTAAATTAAATGAAATTAATTATTTTTGTCTTTTTTGCATATGCTGCCTAATTAATTAGTTGGCTTTCGAATTTCTAAATTATTATAAATTATCTACAAATAATTGAACAACTAAAATCCATTTAGGAATCTTTTGCTGTAGAAGGAACACTTGGCATTTAGTTGGACTTGGGGTTCGGATTACTAATTTGTATATCTGGCAAATCTGGCTTTAGAAAATGCATTTAGGCTATAACAAATATATATCTCGTATATATGTATGTATATATGATTATCTTTGTGTAATTTTTAGTTTTCAAAAATTATATTCTGTGGGCTTCATTTTTATTTTACCTATAACTTTCCTTTTCTATATATCATCTATAACTTTCTGTTGTATAATTGGGATTCTAGTTATGCATGTGTGGTGATTGTGTGTATGGCTGTGTGTGTGTGGGTGACAAAAATATATGTTTATATATATATATGTATATGCTATATTTGTATGCATGTAGTAGAAGCAATTCAATTGCCTTACATTCCAACTATATAAATATAAATTTGTCTTTTATTCTTTTAATTTAGCAATACAAAAATGTGGTTTTCTTTTCATTATATTTTTTTTGGCATAAACTTTTGATGATGTTTACAATTACAATTGTTCAAAGATTTTCTTTAAAGAGCCTAAAAAACATGTTGCTAAATTTCTCATATTTTATCATATATAGTTAAATGCTATAGCTCTCATTTGAATTCTATTTCTACATTTAGTTTTTAGGTACTAGCCAGGCAGCCGATTTGTGTGTTTTTGCAAAAAGGTTTTTACGATATTCGCAGTGCTTCCAAAAAAGCGTATTATCTAAATATTTTTGGGTTTCTCTGTGGTATTCACCATCATCATTTTCATCTTCTGGATTTTATTTGTTTTTTGTTTAAATCAATCCCTGAGTGCATTTTTTGCTTTTTATTTTTTAATGTAATTCGCTTAAGTTGTTCTGCTTGTTGGTGTTCATAGCGTTCTTAGTTGCTTGTTTTATCTTTTAATCATTTTTATTATTAATTTGAAAGTCAAAGTTTTTATATATATTTTTTTTCTGGTATTCAGCATTCTAGAATTGATTTTGCTTTGCGCGCGGTTGCCCTAATTGAAAAAAGTTTGTGATTTGCTTTAATTTTAAATATTTTCATTAGCTAGATTAGATTAGTAAACGCATATATTAAGTAAACGCACTTTTTAGTTTTCGTGAATTTTGTTGTTTACCAATTTACAAAAAGTGTTGTGAAATGTGCTTTAGTTAGATTTGAGAAAAAAGTTTAGGAATTTGTAAATTTCTTAGTTTTTTAAATACTCGTTCAGCTAATTTGATATCTTCAGTTAGACCTACTAGAATGAACCGGGTTGTACTATAAATTGTTATCTATTGTGAACGAGTATTATGCAGTCGATGGCATCCGACTTCATTGTGCTTACTAGTTTTTGGTTTTTCTTTTTGAGCGCAAAAGGTGCATGGAAGAGTAACAAGGACTTAGCTATATATAAATATATATTTGTGTGAGTTGTGTGAGTGTGTGTGTCTGTGTTGATGTTATTGGCTTAAAACAATTTAAGCCATTTTTAACAATGAACATTTATTAATTTTTAGTTTAATTTGTTATGCTTCTTTTGGTGTTTCAATTGCGGGCCTTATTTTGAGCTCTAAATTAATTTTATTTAATTTCTTTCTTCTTGTTAATACTTTTATGATTAGTATCTACAAAAGGTTTTTAGGTCGTTTAACAATTCATTTAAAACATAATTTATGCATTTTCCGTTTGGGGTTTTTTTTCCTCTCGTCTCTCTTTTATTTATTGCAACATTATTTTTATGTATATATATAATTTATTTTTTATTTTTGGTTTTAGTGTGTATAATTTATGTATATATAGTTTTACAATTTCATTTCGTGTTTTGTATCATTACAATTGAATTTATATAGTATGTACGTATTTGTTTTCTTAGTTTTGTGGGAATTTCCTCGCTCTCTTTCTCTCTCTCTCTATCTTCCTCTCTGCACGAGAGAGATAATACAGTTAGAGATATAGCCCTATATAGAAGTACATAGGCCGTAATACAATTTAGTTTTATATTATATATAATTTTTTGTTACTTTTTGTTTAACTACAAACAATGCTAATCGAATTCTCAATTTGTTTTAGCTTTTATAATTTGTTGATAATTTATTTTCAGTTGTTTTTTTTTTTCATATTTGTTCATTAGCAAATCAACAAAATTTTTATTTCTTATTTTCATAAGAATGTTTTAACATGTTTTTCATTTTAGATAACATTTGAATTAGTTTATATATATATATATATATATATATAGTAAATATATATTCATCTAGCTCTACACTTGATCAGCTCGTGTTCCATTTTGGTTGAGTTTTAACTTGCTTCGTTTATACCTACACAAAAACGATTTCAACAATTGAAAACAGAAAATAAACTTACAATTTATAATAAGAAAACAAAAAATTACAATTCTATAAAATTTATAAAAAATTTCAATATACTTCTGTGTATGTGTGTGTATGTGTATATAGTCTGTATAATGTATATAACTATGTGTATTATATATCTGGTGGTTAACAGCTGCCTCTAGACAGCCACAATGGCTGACATCTACGAGGCAGTCGGCACAGGATTAAAATAATGCAGGCCATTGGTCTGGAAGAGACAAATAGAGATAGAGTGACTAAATCTGTATAAATTAAAATTCATATATTGGTATGGAGCACTCACTGCCATATCATATTCGGTTATATAGGCGGGTATTTCCAGCTGATCCTTTGTTATGGCCGAATACAGGTGCTCAACGCCTGGCAGCGAGTGCACCTTCGCCTTGATGGCGGGCGCCATGAATGTGGTGAACCACCAGGTCATCATTTTAGTCCAGAATGTGGGGTGCACTATATAGAAGGCCTTCAGATTCTTCTTGTATCTGTTGAAGAATGGTTTTGATTGGAATACCCATTTACATTCATATTGATATTAGTTCACTCACTTGTATGGCAACACACTGTAGACCTCTCTGAGCCAGTGCAACGATGGATAGTTGTTAGTTGACGTGAGCGTGTGGAAGTATGCAATGACATAATCGCCTTTGACAATCGGATCGAGCAGTTTTATCAGATACAGCAGCGCCTACCATATAACACAATATAGTTATCAATATGGCTCAATTTATAGGTAGTTTTATGGTGCACTTACCTTATCCAGGTCAATGCTCTGGGCTGGAAACCATTTGCCGCAGAACACAATCACAGGTCGGCCAAGACGATCCACTCCACTCTGATATAGACAACCGATGCCAGACACTTCGTTCAGATCCTCAACTTGTGCGCGCTGCAGCAGACGTTCATATCTGTAAAAGATAAATAACAGATTCGTATTGATATTGCTTGTAAATATTGTTGATTCCACTTATGTGCTAATGGTTTATTGATCTAGTTTTAAAGTTGCTTAACAAGCAATAAAGTTTATTATACCCTGGTTATGCATATGTGCAAAAGGGTATATTGTATATCTTAAACGAGGTATGTAATGAATACATGTAAAAGTGACTGATGCCACATGGTATATATTATTAATTTGGATTAAGATTAGGTATACATATAAAGTATATTTAGAGTATATAGAATTATGTATATGCACTAAAGATTCCACTAAGATCATAAATCGAAAGCTCCAGCTATTTAGGAGCTACACAAGTTTGCATATTAGGGGTTCTATTCATATATGTGTACATAGAATTAGTCTAGACTCTACTGTAAGTCGTGCACTCCCAACTAGAGCACTCATAAGTGGTTCATAATTGTTTATTTAAGTCATTGTCCACTGATCCGGTAGCTCATCTAAGAGCAACAGTCACTCCCAGCTAGCAGCTGACAGCGCGCAGTAATCGTAATTGTGTTTACCTTGCTGAGCTGCTTACGAATTCGCAACACACATTCACATTCACACTCGCATTCGTGCTCACATTCACATCAACATTCACTTTAACGATCGACCGTATTTGTCTGCTTTTGGATTATAAATATTTGCTGAAAAGTTTGTGCCCAGTTTTATGAGTTGTACGCCATTTACCTGGGCACACATAAGTTTCTACTCTTGGCTTTATTATTATTTACGAAAATAAAGTAAATATATGTGCGATAAGCTCTAACACAATGGGAGCACACAATTACACTTTTACTAATTAAACTAGAAGATAAGTACATACATCTACTTTCTTTTAATGTTGCGAATTTCACGTAGACTGGGTTTATATTAGTTTTGCCGGCTTTCGTTTAGCGATAACAGCTAAATGGAGTCTAATGCAGGGAGAGTTATCTCTCTTAACAAGAAGAGTGGAGGGAATAGCAGCAGATGAAGGAATCTAATTATAGCTGTTATAATACATAATCTTTGATTGTCATCTATAAATCTTAGCGCTGATTTCAAAGAACAACTTTACATACTGTCAATAACAGCTTTTGCTCCTAAAAGACTTTTATTAATATAGAATTACTCAGTAATCAGAAAAAGAAAACGAAATAATATCGAATTTCCAACTAAATTCCATATTATTTTTAGCGGAAATTTCAGCCTATTTTCAGCTTTACAGTTGTAAACAGCTGACTGACTCATTAAAGTCAATCAAAATTCTGCTAAAAGGTGTTAATTGAACAATTTCATATTTTCTTTCTACTGGCGCGCGTCTACTGTGTGTGTGTGTGTGTGTGTTGGTGTGTGTTTGTGCCTGGTGCAAAGTGACGCAGTTAACTCCGGTAGCAGCTGGTTATCAAGTGATAAACCCTGAAGCTGATAAGATCGGCAGCGACAGCATCTGCAGCACATCCTCCCATCAGATTAAGATAAAAGTTTGCTCTCGCTTCTACAATACGAAGTGACGCATTGTGACGCAGTCTATAAACAAGGCAGATAAATACGTATATCTAGCAGATAAATGCATATACTATGTATAATCTTTGACTATTGACCAAGTATACTGCATTATGTATACACTTTGCAGCATAGTCCATAATCTCCATTAACTGAGAATGGCGTTTATTTACGTAGATTGATTATAAACATGTAAGCTATACAGGGGAAATGCTATAGTATACATATATTGTAAATATACTAAATACTACAAGGGTCAAAGTCTTCTACTCACATACATGCCTCTTCTTCTTCTACTCATTGAGCATGCTGCCTACGAGAAGCTCTTCTATTTACACTGTATGCAAACTATCTTCTTATACGCGCTCTATATCGACTCTTATACTATTTGAGCATACTGTCTACTGTATCTTCTAATTACTAAATACTCTTATACTAATTGAGTATACTGTCTACTGCATCGTCTTATACTCACTAAATACTCACTCCCTACAGCAGACTCTTATACTATGGCAGCATACCGTTACTTCTACTTCTCGCTTCTTATACTGCTTCAATACGACTCTTCTATTCATTAAGCATTTCATATGGGTTTATGGTGACTCTTCTACTAATCGATGCATTGATATTGTCTTCTACTCTCTCATATATTTGATCTGTTCATATCTTTTTTCATCATCTAAACTCGCCCACACATTCTGCTAACTCTGCTAATGACTCGACTACACTCTCTATGCATATATATTCTTCTATTTAGCAACTATAATCTGTATAAATTATTATACATTGATTATAAAAAAAATTCGCGTGTGAAATTCGCTCGCATTTATATTTGTTTTCATTAGTTTTTGCTGTTGTTGGCTAAATTAAGAAATCAGTTATTAAAGCAGGCAATTAGCCAATGCGCATTAGCTACAGTAAAGGGTGACTGAGGTGAACAAACAACAAATAAATATACATATATGTATATACATTTCTAATTATCCTTTATTTTGCATCTCTTTTCCTTCCATCTCTCTTACTTACACCTGATTTTCTATGTAACTCCTCCATTACCTTCTTAGAACTCAGTTTCTTTCTCTCATATTTTGTTTCCCCTTTAGTGCTTAACGAGTTACTACTGTAGCTATGGCTATTCTAACCGCTCTGCCGCCGCCGCAAATTGCATGCCTTTGTTCAATTTTGAAATTGACAGGTAATGTAGGCATGGCAGCTAGCTACTAGGCAGGTAGTCAGGGTCGCAAGCGTGCTTTCAATAATGCATGGCTCGGCTGATGAGCTGTCTGTTGAAAGGACCTGCCCCATCGAGCATTCATCGAGGCGCTATAAATAGTAGTAGTGGCAGTAGAAGACGACAACTAGTTGAAGTCGAGCAAAGCACATTCTATGCGAAAGGGGAGTGTGGAGGGGAAATGACGTCACGCAATTAAAAAAAAAAAAAACAATATCCAAATTGAATATGGAGAGAAATGTCAATCGTCATCGGGCAAAGAGTTTATATTGCGAGCTTGTTTTTATTTAAATTGATTTTGTTTTCTTTTCTCCTGTGCGTTTTTTCGATTTTATTGAATTTGTTTACCTCTCCTCTGGCGTCTCTATGAGCTCATCGGTCGACATGATGTCCCCGGTAGTCTCCTGCATGGGACTGGAGCCCAAGTCTATGGACGTCATACCCTCGAGCATTGTCATTGTGGTTGATGGGGTTTTAGTTGGTTGCTTGGCTGCTTGGGTGGGTGGGTTGCTGGTTAAGCTGCTTTGCTTTTGCTAGTTCTTGTTCAATTATGTTGTTGTTTTGTTATTGTTGTTGTTGTTGTTGTTGTTGTGACTGTTTTGCCTTTTACAGTTTTTATCGATCGAGCGCAACGTAGAATTTTATGGAATTATACCTATTTGCCTTTAGTGCACTTTCTTGTTAATTGACGCAAATGGCGCAGACGTTTCGCGTCTTTCAATTACGTTCGACGTGGTTGGTGCTTTTTTTATTTTTTATTTATAAATAGAATTCTCAACATTTTATTTTATTTATGTTATATTTCGAACTGTGGCAGCTAGTTTTGCCAGACTTTTGCGTTGCGTAGGAAGAAGCCGCGTCAAGACAATAATATAAATGCTTATGAACCGAAAATATTGTTTTTCTATAGCTATTGGATGTATATATTGTATATAGAAGTATTGAGTTTATATAAATCGGTTGGTCCAAACTCTCAAATCGTTTCTAGAGCACACACGACCAGACGCCACGAGCTGCGCTTCTCGACTGAACAAACGCCGTTCAGCTCTCTTTCCGATTGCCAAATGCCGAACGCTGCCCACAGGCTGCTCTAATTGCGCTCTCTCAATTACACTCGGTCACACTCTCACTCTGTCTGGCTGCCTGCTTCACGGCCAGCTTATGTGTACACCAAGAGAGTGAAGCAAACAGCGCAGCGCACAGTAGGAAGTGCACAGACACTCGCACTCGCTCGCTCTCGCACACTCATACGCTTCTTCACTTTCTTCATTCCACTCTCTAACAGTTTATTACTCTCTGCGCAGCTGCGCCTTTACTGCTGTACAATGACATCAACAGCAGAAACAGAAGCAGAGACAGACGCGGAGGCAGCGGCAGCGGCAGCAACAATAACAATAACAATTGTGTATGAACGTAGCTTCTGCCTCTCCAAGGACATGGCATGGCATGACTGATTGATTGACTGACTGACTGACTGCCTGCTGCCTGCCTGATTGCCTGACAGCCGCCAATCGGTTCATGCATATTCGTGTCTGCTTTGCACTGTCCAATGGAATCAGTTGAATAGTTCAACTCTCGCGTGTTGTTGCTTGTGTTTTGTGTGTTGTGTGTGGCATATTTTTTGGACAGCGCCAACATGACGTATGCGCAATTTACATTTAAAACAAAGCAGGCCAAGCGATGGCGGCGTAGTAAAATTAGAGAGAGCAACTGATAGTCGAACTACAGATACCCTGTAGGCAAGTTGCGAATAATATTTATAAAATTAATGTACAAGTTATATATAAATATATCTGTAGACATATGTATGTTGTATGTATATATGTACATAATTGTTATAATACGTAACTAATCAAGAATAAGAATATTTCAAGACTTTCTAGTATGTATATACCTTACACTAATTTTCATTTTACAGAGTATAACCAGGACAACATACTGTGAACTCATTTAAATGCATTGAACTGTTTCTCTCAGCCGAAAAGCCTCGCCTGCTTACATATTTATACAGACACGTGTATATAAAGATATATTCATATACGTCAGTTATCTGATTTGTACAAGATATATATATTGTATATAGTATTTAGATGAATTTACGATTTAAGTGACAACAAAATGCGATGACAAACAGTTTGAATTAAATGCAACCAAATTTGCGGTTGCATTCAATGAACTGACAGAGTTGAGTGATAATTTTATATATACATATATAGAGCCCTATAAAGTCGGGGAATCGGAATCTGAACTGGAATCTGGATTGACAGACAATCATAACTGAGTTGACAGCAAAAAAAAATGCAAACAAAAACGGAATTTCAAGTTGAAAGACCAAATTAATGTTATGCGAATGACTCGCATTGAATACTTCGATTCGATTGGGCTATGGCTACGGAATAGATAGTGCGAAATGCAAATCGCGTCGTAAACGGCATATAGGCTAAGGTTAAAAACAAAAACTTCAGCGAGGGCTGTTCGGGAAGTAGGGAAGCGATACAAAAAGAGACTGCAATGGACCCTAGAAAATATCAGAAATCTATAAATACATCTATATACAGCTGCTCACATATTAATATAGATATTGAATTGGAGGAACATATTAATGTTAAGTTATTATGGGAGTTGTATATATAGTAATTGGTTATTCTCTCCTTCCATCTATGAGAAATTGTTTCTTGACATTAACCTCGCGTCGTATACTTCATTTCTATGCTATGACAATTAGATACATACATATATTTATATATAGATTGACATTATTGCAATGGCTTAGGCCGTAACTCAAACCCAATTGAGACACGTGCAAGGATATAATTAGAAGCATATATTTAGTAAGTGTCCAAGACATGTATTTCCTTTCCTCATTGAGCATGCAAACGATGACGTCGCTAGCAGTACGATAATGACGTCATTAGGCAATAGTCATAGTCCAAGAAGTCGACGCTGTTCAAGGCGTAAAGGATTGAGGGGAGTACGACGAATACTCGCAGCACTCGCGTGCCAAAGTCCTGTAAAAATTTGCATAGGCTATACAAATGCCAGTGGCAGGACCAGGGGTAGCTTGGAAAGGCGCAGTCAGAGAGAAAGTCCGGTCAAAGAAAGTCATTTGTTAGACGCTTAAGATATTTCCGGCACGCGCACGCTAAATACACACGAATTCTATTTATTTACGAATGATATTACAGAATGTGTTTATGTGCCCAACTAGGGCCAACCGAGGGGCAGGGTGCCGAGACGTCCACGTGGAAGACACTTTTATGAGCTGCAGACGACAGCAGTAGGCAGTTGAAAGTCGACTTGCAAATGGTCGAACAATATGTATTTAATGACGCAAGCAAACACCTGATTCTGGACTCTGCTAACTGTTTACGCGAAGCTCTTGTTGACACCTGCCCACAAGGCAAGCGTAACAATAGGGATTACATAGACCTGGACTTACGACTAAACCTGAGATGATAACAACTCTGTGGCAAGTCTTGCTCTACTTGGGGAGTTCCATAGCCTCACATATATGTAATTTGATAATGTACACGAATTTCATTAATTTCAATTTAAGAAACTGCACGTTTCCTTAGAATGATATTTTATACTTGTTTATGCTACTTTTGTTATTCATTTCAATTTGTTTTGCTCACATCTCTGCGTGTCTTTCTGGCATTTGAAATATGAAAATCAATTTCTGTTTATATCAGATAAATATTAGTTTATTGATTTATTTGCGTGTGGAGTTTTTTGTTTAGTTAGAAATCAAGCCCACTCATATATCTTACTATGTCGATATACCCATATACAAATCTCGCTTACTCTAATATATCTCTATTTAGAACCTTGATTATTGAAAATGGAATTGAGGGAATGTAGGAGGGGTAGTAGGAATTGAAAAAGATGAAGACTGAATATGGGGAAACTAAGAAAACCTGGAGGAATACTAAGAGAGTTGGAGATAACAAAGGCAGAAGAGTATAGGTATACGTAATACTGTATCAATATATCGGAATACAATTGATTATAGAAAATAAATATTTGTTGCGTGCCTAAGTTAGCAGCTGTCTAATATGTAAAGCCACTCTCTCTGCTTCTATGTCTATATTCACATCTTTTACTGACTAACACTCACCGCTCTTGATGCTCCATGCCCTCAATGCCCTCAGCAACAACGTTCTCATAGATGCCAGCTCTGGGCCGATCGCTCAGCAAATGCTGTCTGTCCAGATCGCGCTATATCAGGAGAGAGGGAGAAATAAAGAGTGAGAGAGAGAGAGAGAGAGAGAGAGAGAGAGAGAGAGAGAGAGAGAGAGAGAAAGAGAGAGAGAGATATGTTAGGCATATAAATAGATAGAAGAAGAGGTGAGAGACGCACCTGTAGCTGCGCCTGCAGCCCGCTGCTGTAGGAGTTAAGGCTAAGGCCATTCATATCCCGGGCACCATATTCCAGATCTGAGCTGTTGCCCTCCATGTCGTGTGGACTAACGTCTGAATCGTCGTCAGCTGTGAGAGAGATGTAAACAGAGACAGAAAGAGAGAGAGAGAGGGAGAGACTGTTTAGTATATTGAGGCGTATTTGTGATGATGCCAATGCATTTACAGGAGAACTCAAATGAATTGTTTATCATTATTGTTGTTGTTGTTTCTTATGTTGATTCTTTTCCCCCCCGTTTGTCTGTTATCAATGCTTTAGCCTCGTTGCACAGATCCGACTTTTGTGACTTTTGTGCTGCCAAGTCTCAACCTCAGTGCTGCGTAATTTGATATCAACTGAACGCGACGCAGGCGTCGACAGCTTTGCGGACGTTGCTTTAGCCGGCTGCGACGCTGGCAGCGCAGAGACAGAGCCAGCGACAGAGCCAGCGACAACATTGGATAACTCAGCGTGAGAGCGCGCAGGAGACAGCAGAGATGTGATGCTGGAGTGGGCGTCGGTGGGGACGATAAGCGTGCTGCGTTGTTTACTAAAGTTGACATGATTTAAATAGGCCAAAATGAATTTGGCCAAGATGACAACAGCAGCGGAAACAACAGCAACAGAAACAACAACAGCAACACAGGCTCAAAAACATGGCCAACACTAATCTTAACAAGCTGTCGTGATAAGGCGCACAGTTAATTTAAATGCTTGTCTTTGATTTGCCTTGATAAACTTGCGTTACGTGCGGACTCGAATCAAAACGTAGAAGCAATGCTGCGCAGCTTTTCATTAGACACTGAGATGCAGAACAAGATGCTGAGATGGAGAATCGGGTAACATTGACTAGCTGAGCAGATGGAAGATGGAAGCCTAGAAAGTGGAGAGCTGAAGCGAAAGATCTGCTAGGACGAATAATTGGAGAGAAATTCAGATGAGTCCAGCATGACAGCTCTATCCAGATGCCAAGCAAAAGTTTCACAAAGTAAACTCTTACAGTATCTGCAGAGACAAGGAATCACAGACTAATCAGCTCCTGCTAAATCTTGCCACTGGCTGCTTGAAGGTCAAATTTAGCAAGACAAACTATAGCAGCTCGATATGTTCACTCCATTCATCTTAATAACACTCTATACATCTTAACAACAACCAATCGAGTCTCATTTTGTCCGCACTGAGCACTATTTTAGCGAGAGACCCATTAGTATTGTTATTGTATTTTGTTGTTGTAGTTGTTATTGTATATTCAATGTTCATTACATCTCTTGCACTTATGCCCACTTCCCATTCAGCTTACGATAGTTCCACATTTCAATTGAATTTTTTGTTCCGCCCCAAAGTATGCAACACTTTTTTTCACTTCTATTGGCAGCTGCGCCGTCATTGCTGACGTCACTCGCCCAAATGAGTTGACTTTTAGAACTGTTCCCGAAACTGATTTTTATCAGATTTAGACACGTAATTCGGAAAACCATTTATCGCTGCTGTTTTGCTGCAGCTGCTGTCACACCACAACTCGATTGCGACATGAATTTGGTAGCTGATTTCATTGTATTTTGTGTTTGCACTTACAAATGTTTCGATTGCAACGCAATTTAGTTAAATCAGCTGTGTGCAATGAGAATCGCTTGGAGAATTGTCGTATTCTTTTTTTTTTTACCGTTCGGCTGACCACGCGTTGGCGTCTTCGAAACGTAACTGAAGCCCTAGCAATGGGTAGGCAGGTAATTTGAACGAACTCGGATTCGGATTGGGAATGGAACGCACAACAATATATCAAGAATGCGTCTGTGTGAGTGCGAGTGTGGGTGTTTGGATGTGTGTGTGTGTTGTCTAATCTTATCGACATCGACATTATCGGCAGCTGTCGAGGGGCTAACAACAAGGCAATCAGCTCAAGGCTCACGCTCTAGACCGAGTCAAGAGAGATACCAAAAGACACAGAGAAATGCAGCAAAAGCAGACAACAACACGAACGATAGCTGATAATAGATAACTGATAACCGATTACTGATAACCGATAACCGATAACCAATAAACGTCATTGCTGCCAGCACAACTCACCGTGTCGATGACGCATATGCGCACTGTGACTGTGCTGCGGATTCCGTATGATGCGTATCTGACGATCCGGATCCGGATGCTGTGGCTCGCCCAGCTCACCGCCCGTATCCTTGGGCAGCTGCCACAGTGCACTGCGCTCCTCCAGCTGATCGCGTGGAAAGTAGAGCGGCGCCAGCACCTCATACGTGCCGCGTTCGCTGCTATTGACGCACAGTATCACAACCTGCTGTGGAAATTTGTCCAGAAAGCGTCGAATTGTGCCTGTAAAGGTGTGTGAAAGCGGAAAGTAGTAGAAAATTAGATTTGATAAAGCTGTGAATGAATCGTATAGGATCTATAAACGTTACTGATTTGATAGTTGGAGCAGCAGAAGTTAGCTAAAGCAAACTATTCTTGGTCAAATAAACTGTTTGGGAACTATAAGAATACTATAGTAAGGCATAACTACGGCATAAGTAATATGATTAGAAAGTTGAAACTTGGGATCTATAGCTTTACTTCTTTAGAATAGTTATATGTGTTCATATCTTGGTATACTTAACTAAATTTTAAAACTTTGTATCTAAAGTTAAATGTGTAGAAGTTCTATAGTTTAGATGTAATCTTGGTATACAATATTAATATTATATTCCATATATATACCACACATATATATATATAGCACCCACATATATTTTACATATATAGCTGCGTTTGGAGCTCATAGACTTAATACATCATGTACATGTATTTACAGAGCGTGCGCTTAATATCAACTAATCAAAAGGTCAGAGTAAATAAATAAATAATACTTGATAAGCCCTATTAGGTGCAAGTTCAAGCTTTGATCAGAATAGATAACCTGGTATACACTAGCTGATACTAAAAGCTTATCCTTGAGTAATATGCCTAAAATATACAGTGATTCACATAGAGAGAAAGAGAGGGAGAGTGAGAGCAAACTGTGTACCTGATAAGAAACAGACAAAATTGACAGACAGTTGGGCAGACAAAGTGACCAAGAAACAACAAGCTCAGATAATGCATAGACGTCATTGTTACGATTCATACTCTAGAGACTAACTGTAACACGCCATACTAATCCCATATCAAATCAGATCGCTCTTGCATTTGGTGGCTTTACTCACGCAGGGCAATGTGCGCAGCGATGTCGGCCGGAAAGGTCTTCTGATTGCCACTCACATTGCAAACGGCGATGGTGCGCAAATTCAGCTCCTTGGCCTTGCACAGCACGTTTCTAAAAGAGAGAGAGAGAGAGAGTTGTATTAGTATATGTCTTCCAATATATGTAGTTCATCTCTAGCCAGTCTCACCTGTAGCAACAGTGCAGCGCATTCTCGGCGGCTGTTTTGAGCTTCTCCTTGTAGGCGGGTGCAACGGTGTGCAGAACATACTTGGCTGGCAGATTGTATCCACGCGTAACGCGCACATCACCAATGCGGCACTCTGGAAGATGAGAAATATAGTGTTAAAGCTACTGCTCGATATGAATTTCATTATATTATATAATTTACTAATACTTTTTCGACCTCATAGCAGGAAGTAGCTGTTCCAAGAAGAGCACTACTATTTCCCAGAAATACTTCTAAAAACTAAAAACTAATGAATTCATCAGAAATAACAGGACTTTTCTCTATAAATATATTTTTTTGCATTTTATAACAACATTTCTTGGTATTTTTCAATAGAATTAACACCGTTTCATTTGGTTTAAGTTAAGTGTAGTGCAGCACTACTAATTTATTGAATAAAGCAGTACGGCTATATCCTTTTTCTATGGACAGCAGATTGTCAATGCATTTCTTTAAGATTATCATAACTTAAGCAATTCTGATCGTATATTCTGATATATGAACTCTATTCTAAATCAAAAGTATTCCTTCATTCGGTTTCAAATATTTAAAGTCTTTCCATGAGCTCAACTATACATCTATGCATGTATATCCACTCCAATAACTTACCCTTTACAGTTGTGCTCAGTTCCTCTTTGAGCTGATTGCCGGCAACGGCAATAATGCGCTCCGATATGCTATTGCTTTCAGTCAGGGTTTCATCGCTGCTGTTTGTGATGGCATCCACATCCAGTGTGGTCATATCGCCATCCCTAATCAAAGAGATAGAGAGAGGCTATTAACTGATTTCTCAAGTTCTCAAGTATTGCATTCACCTACCAAATAATAAAACGATTATTGACATCTTTGGATAGGGGAAAGGGACTGCAATTGTGCCGCGGTCCGCCGAGCGTTGAATAATCCGTTAGGGGCAGCCGTGTATCCGTCTTCTGTGAGCCACCCCAAGTGGCCAAATTATCCAATTTGACAAGCTAATTACGATTAGAAGAAGACGAAAAGCCAATACCAAGTTTAGTTGTATGCCCCACAAGAGTGATTCCATTGTTGACTTACACATGAGCTGTTGCTGGTGCTGGAGCTGGAATCGAACGCTTTGAAGTCCACATTTGAGTTCGTGTCGAGACGCATTGCGCTATAATTGATTGAGAATTATAAGAATTTATGCGCACGATTGATAATTTGGCAAATGAGTGTGAGTGTGTGTGAAATTGGATCAGTCAGTCTATATATTATGGAGGTTAAAGGAGCGAGAGGGAGTAAGAGAGATACTAAAATTTGTTGGACTAGTGTTTAGAAAAGTTAAACAAAATTTTAGTGGTAAGAAAATTCAAACTAAGCTTTAGCATTATATAAATTAACTTTAGTAAAATTTAAAGATAAGATAACACTGTGTCTATATCTTCTATGTACACATAATATCTGAGAACTTTTCTTATCTCAAGTATCTATCTATATTGCTGTACAATTTAATAATGTTTTATGGAAGATATATGAGAAAGTTTAGATGGAAAACGCTGTTTAAAGGAATTCCATGTAAAAACTGAGCAGATATTACCATTCTTACCATTTGATCTGTATATAAGAATTGTTTTATCTGTGAGTATATGACGAATTAGATTTAAGAACACATAAATTGAATATTTCAGACAACAAACAGCGGGAATAACTTTACCCTGAAGACCCGCAGTTATTTGAAGGTTATTCATTGACTTTGGAGCTAGGTACAGAAGATATTTAAAAGACTGCCTTATCTAATTGTGATTACAGAAAGCGGGAATACCTGTAGACTGTAAAGTACCACATGTTTGTAGGTTATTCATTGGCTTCAGAACTCTGTACATATGATCTTGCTATGGCATTCTATAGCTTATCTTCTTTTGATTACAGAATGCAGGAATGCCGCAGATATTATACAAACGATCTTTAAACCATATTCTTTGAAATGAATTTAACCTAAACAGAAGAGCAAAACGCTCAAAACATTTTCATTAATAATACATTTTTTTCTGTAACTGAATTTGTGATGAACTGTGGGCCAAGCTAACAGTTAGCTCTGTTGTTGCCAAACGTCCACCGCTACCGGCTCAAACTGGTCCAAAGCGAATCTTTTGGAAACACTCGCCTTATCGAAAACTCTGCAAGCGCTGTGAGTCAGCGAAAGGAAACAACAATTTAAAAAGCGTCAACGAACGGAATCTGTTTTTGTTTTTTTTTGTTTTTCTATTCTTTTTTGTTTTCATTCTAATTTCCACAAAACAAAACAAAAAGCAACAAAAGAGAGACACAACAGTTTTGATTCAGTTTGTGAATAGGCGAATAACAAAGTTAGTTTCCAGCTGAACAATCGAGTGAGTCGAGTCTCATTCACAGCCAACTGCTGCTGCTGCTGCTGCTGCTCCTCTTCCCCCCCTCCCCTTGCTGCCACTTGATGCTCTATTTATGGCATGTGCGTCATACGCGCTGAATGACAGGTGCAAAAACAAAGGTGCAATGTCCAAAGCCCTTGCAACGCGCTGCCTTTTCTAATTGCCACACAGCCAGCAGAGTGGCCCAGCAGAGTAGCTCCACCTCACTCTCTCCCACTCTCTCTCTCCTCTCTCTCTTTCTTCCAGCTGACCTTTGCCCTTTTGCAGAGGTATATGCAGAACTGCAAACATATAGTTTGTATATATATGTGATATATATATGTATATATATATATGCTCCAGCATTTTGGCCTAAATTGGCTTCTGTAATCTGGCTCAAGGTGCTATTTTCGAGTGCGGCTGATAACAAAAGCGCAGCACAATGAACATGCTATACACGCACACCAGTGCAAACACACGTGCACACACACACACACACACACACACACACTATCTTTCACTCTGTTCCTCACACCTTCTCAAACAATCAACGCACAGCATCATTATATAAGAACAATTTTATATATACACCTTGATAAATTCATCTGCAAATTGTTTGCATTTTAATACACAATGTGAACAGAGCTGGGGTATGCACAACTAGTAAGATACCCTACCGCTGAGATATATTCCCATTAGCGAGCAATCACTGTAGCAATAAATATGAAGCAGAAGATTTGGGGATTAGGGGAATCTACGATTAGGGAGAGAGTCAAGTAAATTAATGACCACAGCTTGACTTTCAGCGTGTACTAGAGTTAGAACTACTAAATCAAAATTGTCAGCAAAATAGTTATTTGCAAGTAAATAACATTAATAAGCAGATGTACCAGGGAAACACCACTAAATGAGCTCAAATTCAAATTAAATGAATGTAAATGTGAAATACATAATTTGGTATATACCCAACAATGGATAGTAAGTGAATTCACAATAGAGAATCGTAGTTAACTAAGAAGTAATCCGTAATCCGCAAAAATCTCTCGTTTCTCCATTAAAATTACATATAATTTCCAAGCACTCTTCATACGGGGAATACCCCAAAAGATTCAACTCTTAAACCTCGACTTACATAATAATACATTTGGTGTTTACCTGCCCAGGGTCGGATAATTGATATTAAGTAAATATTTAAATTTATTTCACCTGCAATAACCGTAGACTAAATAATTTTCTTCAAAATATATTTGTTTATATATATATGAGAATACACAGACAAATTAACGTCAAGACAGCTCCATTAAGGCAACAGCTCTTTGGGTTTCACAAGGGTAGAATAAAAAGCGAAAACTTGGTACAATTAACTCGAAAACAGCTGAGGTTATTTAACATGATTTAATGGAGCATTAATGGAGATACAAATCTATATCGAAATTGTCAACAATTTTGGCTCAAAAATGTTTTTCAAAATGTGGGATCTGTTGAAAGGTCTATTTTATGTTGATACAATTGAAGTAATACGTAAATATACTGCATTTCCTTAGCAGATGCTAGGAATGAGCGATATTTCTCTATGTTATACAGCTCTATTGTTAGAAAAAGGGTTTTTTATACTCCGTTCCTAATAGAAATGGTAATATACATATACTTTATACATAGCGAAATCCTCCCTAATATACCAAAGAACTATATATAAAATATTTATAATATTTTACAAGTAATTTAAGATGATGACTAAGTTTCTCTAGTTCATTATAAAACTAGCTTCGATTTGCTTTGTATTTAAATATATGTATATACAAAGTATTACTCTATCTAGTCACGGGGTTTTTTCGCCAAAGTTTAACTACGAATTAATTAGTAATTTGTATTATAAATTTTTGTTGCAGTAACTTCATTCCCAGGGCTCGCTTGTCTATTTCGTCTTGCCTGATCTAGTAATTCCCATGCCTTGACTTGGCAAACAGAATTTCGGAGTTTGTCTTAGCTAACCCGACTGACAGTCGCGGAAGCCGTAGATCTACGTCAAAGTTGAACGTAAAATACACAAGCGTCTGGACGTGGCTTTACCGTTGTCTGACAAAAACAATACGAAGCAGATTGTTCAAAAAAAGAAAAGGTTTTTCTTTGGGGATTTAGCTACAAAATAGAGTTGATGAACAAATTCTTATGGAATTTGCAATTACATAAAGATAGTTCCAGATGGGTATAGAAAACAGCAGAAGGAAGGAAAAGTTAACAAATTCTTATATGTTTAACAATTTGAGCTAGTTATAGCAAAAAGTTGCTCAACAAAAGGAAATAATTTAACTTCACAAAAGTAAACAGAGCTACAATGAAACAGGGAAAAGTAATTAAAATGTTTTTAAGGTCTTGAACTGAATGTTGAATGCTAACTAATACTTAGGGAGATGTTTCAGCATCAAACTTTATTTGCAATATTATTTATCAGCTTATAATAAATTTATTTATGTAATATAAATGCAAAAATTCTCGAGGAGTCCTCAAGGAGCTCTCAAGGTATTCCCACACATGTCTATTTTCTAACTGAATTCTATACATATACATAAAATGTTTTAATAGAATATTATCTCCTTTACTCAAAGAACCAGATCATATCACATATGTGAACCACTTATTCCTTATTTAAAAAAAACCATTAAAGGAATCTCGGATGCAAATTCGGTCTGTCTAACTGAAATTAAATATATAAATTTCAGCTTCTTAGACATGGAAAAGTATTTGGGATATACTTTATTTGTGCATGCTTCTCCATAAATCTATATAAAGTGTATTCCAAATACGGCGACTCCAGTGCTTGAAATAAACTTTGATCTCTGCTTGCTAAAGGCGTAGGCACATGTAAGATTTTATGACTTTTGCCTTTGCACTTTGAAGATCAATGAATGCATAAGTAAAGAGAGAGAGAGAGAGAGAGAGAGAGAGAGAGAGAGAGAGGAATAGTCTGAAAGCCAGAGTGAGGTATATATATAGAATTGCATACCAACAGACTTATAATAGTTATAAGTAGATAGGTAGACATACATATATAAAGAGACGAACAGGCCTAGATCAGCTCAGTTTGTCATCAAAATAAATACTTTTTGAGGTTTATTTACCTGTTACATACATTTAAATAGAAATTCAACTGGCATGTGATCTGTTAAGGCCTTAAGGTGCAAATAGTAACACTAATAGGACAAACACTATCTAGATTATATATATTTGTTTATGAGCTATGACTAAGGGGCAAGAATGCATTTGAAAGAAATGAATTCAAATTAGAATGCAACACGATTTCTTACGTTTCTTGTTACGTAAATCTATACAAAAAAATGTATAATTATATACCCACATATAATCGTTTATATGAACGAGTATGATGTGTTGATTTATTCGTGTTGCACATTTTGTTTACGGTTCATATTTCTGTGCTGCGCCACGGCACACCCTGTATACAAGTCAAGCTGGTCTGAGCAGTATATCAAAATTGACAAATATTAAAGCTAACAAGAGAACGGCAGAGAGAGCGAGCGATAGAGAGAGAGAGGGAGAGAGAGAGAGAGGGAGAGGGAGGTCTTAAAGTTGCTTTTGCTGTTAGTGCATATTCATTGTAAAAGCAAATTTTGTAGCCAAAGCAATAGACACATACCATTATGAGCACGTCTCTATGTGTGTGTATGTGTGTGCCTGTGTATGTACATATGTTTACTCTTGAATGAATTACGTCTTAACTTGGCTTGGCTAAACGCGCCTCGTGTACTTTAAAGCTTAAGGCAAACAAATGCCGTCAACACAACACAAAGACTTGGTCATAATCTTGCTAATAGTTCTGCATGTGTGTGGGTGTGTATAAGTGTCTATGTGTGTGTGTGTGTGTGTGTGTGTGTTGCTATGCGTCAGACACGATCACATCATCATTAAATAGATATTTCTGTGCCTACTAACAGATTCTTGCCACAAATATGTATGTATGTTCATCAATCATCAATCGTCATTCGTCTTTCGTCAATCGGCTACGTTACGTATACGCCGCGTGTAACGTTGTTAAATGTCAGAATGGGTAAATGCATTAGAAATGAGTGAAACGCAAATGCCACGCCCCAGCGGCACAGCCCACATTTAAGTGAAATAAGCAACTGACGCGACTCAGAAATTCTGTTTGTTGTACAAGTCGGGTTGTTGTTGCTGTTGTTGTTGCTGTTGTTGCCTATTCCTTAACTTGTTGTTGACGTTGACATGCTAGAGTCAATTAGACTATTGTAGAACGCAGTTAGTTTCTTGCTCTTGCCGGTTATATATGTCAAACTGTTCCGACTCGAATCGTAACTTCGTATTTCTACACCCCCACCAATTACGTGGGTTCCACCATGGAAGAGATAAGCGCTAAATTGCACATATCTAATAAGCTCCAGACAGTAATTGGTAATTCTCATATATATAAGTGGGCTGCATTGTACAATGAAAACATGGAAAACCGAGGAGTTTCTGTAAAACCTTGAGAGATTTCCACTTATTGTACAAGGGAAAAATCGAATTGAGATTTTAAGATATTTTAACATGCATGTTAACTATTTTACTATAAAAATTTAGTCAATTCAGTTGAGTTTCACACTTTAACATGCATGTTAAATATTTTATGAAGGTTCATTATTAAAACCTTTTCACATGCTTGTTTATGGCTGACATTTCAATTTAAGGCTGTTTAATGTTACCTAAATACACGTTAAATATAACATAATTAACGTTTTATCTAAAGGTAGACTATAAACAATTATTTATCATTCAATTTTCTCATTTAATTTAACTTTATGCATAAGAATTTAATAATTCAACCATATAAATTTCGGTTAAAAATAAACATACATTTTGTCAGTTAATTAGGTTAATGTGCATGTTAAAAATTAATGCTCGATAAAGTAAAATTTATATTATATGCTCCAAATCTTAAGCTCTTCGAGTTTGTCACTTACATTTATGGCACCTGCGTATAGGTTAAATATAAAGTTTATTTTTTTTAGGTTAATGGAATTTTGCTTTCTTTTTTATGCTGCTTAAATACTTTGACTTTGTTTTCTTTCTGAAATTCTTTGAGTTTTGGAGAACAGACAGAAAGAAGCTTTAGAATCACTTGGATCTCTGCTTTTATAGCAAGTAAATTAATAAAATTAGAGTTAAATCCATTGTTCAACTATGGTAAATTTCAACAAATTCCGCTTTAATACTTATATTAAACATAGTTAAAAATATTTTATACAATGACAAAGCTAAAACTTTCAGCTTTAATATTCAGTTTTGCATGCCAGAAACCTTTGCTGTATCGATCATGCTTTCGTAAGTGTCGCCTACGTTGACTGTCGATTCCCAGGACATTTTCCCGACTTCCTCAGCCCACCCCCCTCTTCACTACAGTTGTTTTATTTTGCTCAAGCTTTATATGATTTTTGGTCGCGCTGCTGAGTTTTGTTTACGCTACACGCTCAATCCGCCAAAAAAACAAAAACTGTTGCATAATCAATGCGAAATTTTTGTCGCCCACATGCCCAAGGACTGCCAAGGACTAATACTAACAGGTCTTACAGCCTGCTTACCCATGACCATATCAGGTATAAAAATACACAGATATATTTATATATGTATATATCTGTATGTAACTGTATTTTGGCTCGTATTCGTGCATATGGCAACTGCTGCGCTTGGCACGGCACACAACATTACGTATACGGCCTGTTGGCATTGTCCTTTGCTTTCTTATTCTTATTGCTTTTTTCCTTTTTTGATCTCTGTCCATAAAGAGACCAGAAGGCACAGGTAAGCAGTTGAGGGCGGGCATTGCCATCCAAGTTTGGGCTAAAGTATTGGGCATGCCGAATGACAATACCAAGTTTTTTTTTTGTTTTTCCTGTACCAGTCAGCGAACGTTCGATTTGTTTATCTTCGAATTTCGACGCTTAACGTTCAACGTCAACTGCGCTTCTTATTGTTTTTTTTTTTTTTTTTTCGTTGTCGCTTGTTTATATTTATTTTGAATGCGTCATTCGTCGCGCTTTGTGGGCTCGGTCTTAGTCCGTGTCTCGCGCGCGATTTCCGACTCTTTTCAATCATTACCCGAAATCCAAATAGGCCCTGTTTATACTCTATCTCTGTATGCCTTATCGACCGGATCAATCATGCTCATCATCGAATGAAAAGTGCTCCGACTAATGTCAGTTCTCGATTTCGTCAATTTGTCTCTTTAATTGCACTAACTGCATTTTTATGGACATCTAATCAAAATTGATATATACACTACTTTATTTCCATTACGCATTCAACTGTAACCCTCATTCTAGTAATTCCAATAATTGTTAACAAAATGTGTCGCCTTTGTACAGCTCCTATGCCCTATGCAGAGTCGTGAATTCCATATAAATATATTTCCACCTAAGCTGCTTATTAATAATTATTATCGTAATGGCAATCATTTTTATTGAACGCGCACAGTGGGCATAAATTAGTAATTTTATGGCAAATAGAATATATTTCTGTGGACTTTCCCAGTATTTTAAATAATATAAAATGGTTGAAGATTTCAAGTAATGCCCACTGTAACGATTATAAATATCTTGAGATTTTAGTTGTATATAAAAATATAAATAATTTTTATACTGTGTATATTTCCTGTAATATTATATATTATAGTACTCCTTTCAATTGTTCGGGAATGCACTTATAACAAAATTTTGTTATTCAACAGTTTATTGCACAATCCCGTTGTTTTTATGAGCACATCCTCTATTTACACAAGATCTAGTATTCCTCTTGGCACAACCAATCTGCCACCTAATGTGACCCAACCAATACCAACAGCTTAAGAGCGCCTTAAAAGCATTTGATAATTGAGCTGCAAAAGCGCACTCAAGCGGGGAATAACAGCTACAGGGTGCACTGGGCAAATATGTTATTGAATAAACAGAGTGTACAAAGTACATGTGTGCATTAGTCCAATGGCATTGACAAGGAAATTGTAAATAATTGGATAGCAGCAGGGCAGAGTTGGCGGGGGACAGGGGCTGCAGAGCACGGACCAACGCTGACAATTAATCAGTTGTGGGAGGTGGACAAACATATACATATACATATACATATACACAGCCCATATGTAGGGCATGTTTGTGGGCTATCATGCACCTGGTCTAACAGAATATAAAGCTAGGCCTTGGTTTTGCCATTTAACTTGGAATTCTGCACCAGCCCACATACGACTATATATTTTCTATGTAGTTGTATATATGTATGTATTTATGCATGTTGCTTTTGTCACTTTTTATTCGTAGCTCTTTTATTTATGCACATCAATTCTTAATGCATTGAACTGCACGTAGAATAGAAAAAGCTTTGAAACACAAGCAAAACAACAAAAAACAACAACAAAAATTGCACATTTTCGTTTAATTCTAAACGACGCTCAGCTAGCAATTATAGCTAGCATTTGAATGGCGTCAACCTACAGTTAGTTTGTTGTTTTGCTCTCTCTTTCTTATGCGCTGCTGCTCAGCTGTGATGATGGCGGCGGCGGCGGCTTCTGCAGAGTTTTGTTAGCAGAGCCATTGCACAAGCTGTGAAGGTTACGTTTGATACGTTACCCACACAGCTACGTATTTGTGTGTGTGTGTGTGTAATTCTTTTATATTCTGCATAGACACACTCTATTTGTGTGTGTGAGTTTGGCTTTTGCTCAATAATACTACTATTGTATAACAGCCAAAACTAACTGCTATATTATTAGTAAAGATCTATACAGCGCTTGGAACTTGGCTGCACGCCCACTTAGGCGCACACACACACACATAAACGGCTTTGGCGACTTTTACAAAATGAAAACACCCAAAAGAAAAGCCAAAGCCATTAAAAATGTTTTCACACACACACGCACACGAAAATACGCACGCATACGTACGCTATACGTTGGAAGGGGGAGAGGGGTATAAAAGTTAAGCAGAAAAAAATGCGGCAGTCTGTTCTGTATGTGTGTGTGTGTGGCAGGTAACTCTACGAGCGTATATATATATATATACATATATGCAAGCTTACATGTGAATGTGTGTGTATATGTGTATGTATTGATATGAAAACGAGAATGTTTAAGTTAAATTTTTACGCACTTTTCTCAATGAATACAACTCGCTTCACAATTTACGCACTTCCCAGCAATTGATGCCTAGTTGCTGCTGTTGTTTTTTTGCACGCACTTTTTGTTGCTTTATTGCTTTAACTTCACTTTGTGCACTTTTTATATTTTGGTGTTTATGTGTGTGTTTTATAGTGTTTTGTGTGTATGTGTGTGTGTTGCAAATTAAACTGGCGCAAACACGTCTCTACTACCCACCGCTCGTCACGAATTCACGTTCGACACTGAAAGCTCGAATTGAGACTTTTGCCAGCAAAAGCCAGTTAGCACTAAAAATTGACAAATTTGGCTGGCCATAGCGGGAAACGTATAAATACCAAGAAGCCAAATGACAAAAAGCTGACTGGCATATGTTTCTGCGTTGTAAAAGCTTTGGCTATTTGGCGTGCAAGTGTGCCCAAATTTGATATACTTTAAAATAATACTATTTCTATTGCTAGTATATAAATAGACTTACTATGGCGCGTAAGCTTGGACATGTTTTGAATGCTGAAATATTGCAATGTGCTTAATTTATATATATAAATATATGATTAAACAAACATGATTTGTGGGCTCTTGTCATATTTTATATTTATTTTGCTGCTATATATATATATATCAGCACAGCCGGGTTCAAGTCACCCAGAGCAAAGACCAATGGATTCGGACATTAGTTGTCGACTGAGTTGTTGTTGTTGTTGTTGTGGTGGCATTTGCTTTGACCAAACATGACATTATACAATAAACAAGAAAAGGAAAATGTTTGAGCGAGGCGAAGGCGAAAGTGAGTTGAAGATGCAGCTGCACTCGGCATACCGTTAGCTATAACTGTCATAATCAGCAAATATTCCAAAAGAAAAAGAGACACCAATTGGAAAGGAGGAAGCGCAACGTGAATCGCCGTAACCAATGATAAATAGCCAATGGCTAGCCAGGAGCACGGTAGGGGTGGCAGATTGATAGTGAAGGAGAGAGGGAGATAGAGACGTCGCCTGTCATTCGTGAAATAAATAAATGCAATTTGTGAATTATATTTTATATTTTTTTGTATTTTTCGTTGGTTTTATACTTTTTAGGTATTTTTCTTGGTTTTTTTTATTGAAATTCCTTACGATCGCAAGAAGCGCACAGAAGTAATATGTATATGGTAAATTGTTGTTGTAGATACATACATAATAATAATAATATATAATTAAGATTATTTATATAATATATACATATATGCATATATGTTTTGTAATATGTAAGTAATATTTATATAGTATATATATGTATATATATATGGTTGTGTATCTATGTGTGTGTGTGTGTAGTTTATATGTGTGTGTGTTAGATATACATATACATATACATAGTAGATTGTAGCATAATTATAATATTATATACAAATCTCAAGATTGATTGATTGATTTGATTTCATTTCATTTCATTTTGATTTGCTTTTCTTTTTCTAATTTACATTTAATTTTTTTTTTTGTTGTATAAATTTAAAATTACATTTTATTCATATATATATATTTTTTTTTGAATTGGTTTTCTTGTTTTGTTGTTTTTTTGTTGTTTCTACACACTTACAGACTATTCGCTCTATTTATCATCATCATCGACTTCAATGCGATTTTCATCAGCTTTCAAGCATTCGCTCTCTTCTCTTTCACTTTCTTACATAGCTATATATATATATGTGTGTGTATATGTATATCTGTATATAATTTTTTATATATTTATATATATATATAAGTCATGCAGCCAGGCTGTGAGCAGAGTTTCAAAGTTTCTTGCTCAAATTTGCATTTTGTGAATTTTCGGTTTCTTCTTTCCTAATTTTTTACTTTGGAATCCATACACACACATACATTCACGCACGCACACACGCACATAACCATACACACCCATATACATATACACATCAATCAGTTTGCACAAAATATGCTTAAAACTAAATATTATTTTAATACACATTACAAAAAGGTTCAAAAAGAAACAAATCTTAACTAAAAGTTACAAATTATATATAATTAAAAGAAAATTGTGTTAAACGCAAATTAAGTAAAGTCAACAGCGTGACAGAGTTAACATTGTCAGTGTCAGTGCCAACAGCTAACAGCAAAGTTAACAGTCTGAATGTTAGCTGCAACAGCGGTGCAAGCATTTAACAGCAACATTAACAGTTAATAGTTAACAGTGCCAGAGTTAACTCTACAGCAGAGCTAACAGCGCGAGAGTTAATAGTTAACAGTTAACAGCACTGTTTAACATTACAGAGGAAACATAGCTTAAACCATTTTTGTTTCTTTTTGCTTTTTTGTTGTTGTTGTTGTTGTCTTTCATTGAATATTGTTGTTTCATAACAATAAACAATCCCTATATATATATTTAAATTGTATTTATATATAATATGCTTTACATTTATATCAGTTGAATCATTCATAAATTATCACCCAGCAGTTTTCCTTTCATTTTCTTTCTCCCTAACGAACAAAAGCCGAAAGATATTTGTAAACAAAAAACAACAAGAAAAAAAAACACATGCATTCACAATCACAATCAATCAAACAATCATTTTTGCTGCTGCTGTTAACTAGATGTACAGTAATTAGTTTTACAGTTAGTTATTAATTATTATCATTATAGACTACAGTTCTAAACAGTTTTACAGTTATATATCATATATGTATGTGTGTATATAAAAAAAAAACACTGAAAATATTGTAGCAAAGTTTTCTTTTTCAATCTTTTCTCACATTCTTCATTCGGTATTTTAAAAATTTGTTAAGTAAAAAATTTGTATTTGTATTTTTTTTGTTTGCATTTTAAGAGATTTTCTTTTGGTTGTTTTCTTCAATTTGCAAGCTGCTTGTATAAAATGGCTAATATTTATATATATTTTCAGTATTTTCCATTTTCCAGTTACAGTTATTCTTTTGCTGCTGCTGTTGTTGTTGTTGTTTTTTTTTTTTGTTACCCCCTTCCCCACATTGAGCTGAGATACATTTCGTTACTTTTTTCAATTTAACTGCTTTTTGCAATATATATATATATAGAGTATATAGTTCTACATATATACCAAAAACGAAAACATTTACATTTAGCATTTAAGTTTTACAGTTACAGAGAGTTAACATTAATGTTAAATCATATACAATATATAAATACAATGCATATCGATTATGATTATTATTATTATTATTTTATGTCAATTTCGACAGCTAAAAATTGGACTAAGAATTACATTTGTATGTATGTATATATATATATTTATATATATACATATGTATATACATGTCATCATATCTGCCTTTTGTAAATTATATAGTTTAGTATTTTTTAAAGTATTTTTTCACTATATGTATATAGATAGTGTATTTTTATATAATTTTTTTTTTCTCATATAGTATATATATACGTAGATAATTTGCTTGGAATTTCGCTTATATAGCATATATGTGTATATATATCTATATATGTATAATCGAACAAATTCAAAAAAGTATTATAAAATAATCGATATATAATGTGTGAGTGTGTGTGTGTGTGTGTGTGTGTGTGATATAGTTATAGATGGATAGTTTTGCTTGGTTCATTGAGCTGTAAAAATTAAAGAGTTGAGAATAAAAAAATTAATCGTTCTTTTTTTTTTAGTGTGTTGCGTCGCAATTTTAACTTTTTTTTTATTTATTACAAAATCAAAATATCTTAACGTATTTTGCGAGCAGAAATTGGTGTTTTGTGAAAAGTGTTTTTTATTATTGTTTTTGTAGAAGTTTTTTTCTTGTTTGTTGTTTTTGAAAATTTAGCAAAATTGTAAGAATTATAATTTGTTTTTGTTTTATCGTATACAAGTCGAGTTCTGTGATGAGATGTTGTTTGTTTTGTTTTTGTTTTTGTTGTTTTTTTCGATACAAGGAAATTTTTTTGAGCGACGCTTAAAGACAAAAAAAGAAATTTGTTTAAAGAAAATAATGGCTATATGTCTGGTTTGTATAACTAGGATGTGTGTGTGTGTGGGTGTGTGGGTGTAGGTGTGTGAGTGTGAGTGTGTGGCATGTCCTGATGCATAGGCAATGTTCTTTCTTCTCTTTTCATTCCCTTTGCCCGTTGAACCAGCGAACGTCCTAAACAGCGGCTCTTCAGTCGAATTTTCTTTTGTGGCTATGTGTGAGTGTATTAGTATGTGTGTGTCTACAGTGTGGCTACATCAATTAACATCAAGCTCAACATATTTGCAGCAACAATTCGTAGACGGAGAAAGTTCCACTGCCAAAAATCTAAATACAATTCATATATATCCTTCTATATATATATATGGATATATCTGCCTGTTCTGCTACTGCCTTTAGATATATTGCTGTTGTGCCGTTGTTACATTCAAATACGTATCCTCTCCAAGCAACAACAAACTGGGCGCTGAACCATCGCGCGGATAGAAATATGCAAATTGTCCGCTATACGAATCCAATACAAATTGTTGTTGTTGTTGTTGCTTGTGCTGTTGTTGCTGTTGCTTCCTCTGCTGTTTCTTCTGCTTCTTATTCAATTGTTGCTGCTGCAGCTTGTAAACTGGCATATTATTGATCTGCTGCTGCATTAGCACCAAGCTGCCCTCCTGCTCTGCTCCGCTATAGTTGTTGCTATTGTTAGGGTGTTGCTGTTGCTGTTGTTGCTGTTGCTGTTGTGGTTCGATTTGCTGCTGCTGCTGCTGCTCTTCCAATCACGTGCTCAACCAGGTCGAATTGCATGTGCAAATGGTGCTGGGTATCACAGGTGCATAGTAAACGCCATTGGCATAGATCAAGCCCGGCGGACCCGCCTGTATCTGAATTGTTTGCGTCTGTTGCTGCTGGGCATCGGCAACAGTTGCCGCCGCATTGGCAGCCGTTGCCGCCACCGGCGCTGCTGCTGTTGCCACCCCTGTGGGCGCACCAGCGCCACCCGCCGCCGTAGTGCTGCAGCAGATGGCGGCTGTTGCCGGCGCTGCCTGTGGCAAGTAGATCGTTGGCGCTTGCGTCGTCTGTTGCGCTGGCGTTGCCGCGACCAGCGTCAAGACGGGTGACGCCTGCGTTTGCTGCGACTCCAACTGTTGCTGCTGCTGCTGTTTCTGTTGCAGGTAGGCTACATGCTGCTGCTGCTGCTGCTGCTGGTGATGATGATGATGTTGGTGATGTTGCTGCTGTTGCTGTTGCTGGTGATGATGTTGCTGCTGTTGCTGTTGCTGGTGATGATGCTGCTGCTGTTGCTGCTGCTGTTGCTGTTGCTGCTGCTGATGATACTGATGCTCCTGCTGTTGCTTCACCTGATTGGCCAGCGACAGGATCAGCGACAGTGTCTGACGACGCTCGTGCCCCATCAGGCAGACGGTGGACATTTCGACAACATTATATAAATACATTAGGTACTCATACTGGAGCGGCTCCTCCTCGATGCCCCAGAAGTGATTGCGCAAATAGGCCTCCAGTTTGGTAGTCTGCGTATTGATGTCGGGGAAATCGATAAAGAAACGGGAGCACATGTAACGCTCCAGCGTCTTGATCAGCTGCGAGTCAACCGCCGTGTATTTGCGTACCAATAGATTACAGTATTTCAATAGACCACCGCCGCGTATCTCCTCCGGCTGTCGCGTTGAGATCAGTTTCTTTTGCAAGTGATATAGGGCCTCCTGGAAATCACCGTAGACCGATTCGCCCACCACCGTCGGATAGAAGTTCTCCGAGATGGGCAGGGCGGCACAGTCGTAGAACAGCAGCAGCGAGTCCAATACGATTTGGAATGAGTCCACTGAGAACTCGAACTGGCGACGCATCGTGTCGACGAACTTGAGCTCGACATTCTTGTGGCCCGGCGAATTGCCCAGCGAGATGAGCGACCAGCGATCGCCGTCATTGTTATTGTTGACCTTCACCATTTTGCCAACGTAGGCGTCCTTCAGGCTGCACGTGTAGATGCGCCGCTTGCAGACGCCCTCGGGCATCAGGTCGAGCAGAGTGTTCAGCACGGCGGTCTTAACGCGATCGAAGACACGCGGTGAGCTCAGCTCGATGGCAAAGATCAGATCAAGATCATTGTATGGCTGATCCTCGCTGGCCAGCACATGACTAGCTGCGCCGCCATTTAGGCGTATATCCTTCACAAGGACACCGGCACCGCCGCTATTCACATCCGCCTCCAATTTGCGACGCACCGAATTGACCAGATCCTTCAGTGTCACCTCCAGTGTGGGAAAATTACCACGCCCATGTATGGCCACCTTCTCGTCCATGACTGAGTGCAGCTTGCGCACCTGCTCAAATGATAGCACCGCCAGCCTCTGTGTACCGCCCGTATCGACGCTCTCCAGCGAACCGTGATCCGATGTCGAGGCTATCGATGAGCCCGAACTGGGCGATGGCGGCGGCGTTTCGGTGCCGCCATCCGAGTGGAAACCATCGTCGATCTGATAGACGTCCATTCTGTTGTTGCGCTGCTGATGGAATAGTGGTTCGGCGGCTCCGTCTAGTGTCCCGCACTAAAATGGAAAGAGGAAGAACTTTAATTAGTTGCTATACCATTTGAGAGTTATCTATTTATTTAGTTATGAATTGGGTTTCAGCTGAAAAAATGTGTAAAGTTGTTGAAAATTGCAGGAGCTTTTGCTAAAAGCTTTAATGAGCTTGCAAAGTTCTAGGCTTAATTAGCAATTGCAAAAGCTTCGCTAAGCTCATTGGAGATAAACATAATATTTACTTAAATCTTACTTAAAGTTTTTGGAATATGTTTAATACCCAAATGGAACTTGGAGTTTTAGTAAAAGCTCCTTAAAAGCTATTACATATTTACGACAGCTGTTAATTTAAACATTCGATTAGAGTCTTAGACTTAACAAATATGACTTGGCTCACTGTTTATTTCAATGTTCTTAACAAATTTTCAAGAAAGTTACCTTAAAAGCTTGCACAACTGCTAGCAAAGCTCTTTAGGAAAAACAGCAAACAATTTTCCACGTTTAACAACACTTACGATTTGCCCCATCGTGTCTCATGGTCTATAAACTATCAAATGGAAGTAAAGCTTCTTAAAATATCCTTAGCTGCATTCAATATTATATTTAACTCTCATTTTCACTTGTTTAAAAGGTCGAAAGGCCCTTTAGAGGCTTTTATACGTGCCTCTAAAGGTACATTAACAATTTGTGGTAAATATTATGCTAATTCATAGCTCTTAAAGCATAGTATCTTGGTTATAAATCATTTTCTAGCACACTTATCCCACACTCAGCAGCTTTAAATCACTTGATGATGATTATCTTAGTATCACTTGTGGCTTTTCAACTAAGCGAAATTCATTTCAATTCTCATGCCGCTCATATTAAGAATCGTCGCTTGGCGTTGCTTTAAATCACTCTTCAAGCTTTTATCTCCACAAGTCAAGTTCTAATTCATGTATTCTGGCCTTTAAAAAATATATACATATCTTTTTTTCCTTAGTATTGGTTTTTATTTTGAATTTTTTATTGCGCTCGGAATATTTTTTTATGGCTACCCAATGGGGCACAATTTTTTGTTATTTTTTAATTAATTAATTTGCGTTAAATTTGCTCAATTTGAGCGCTGGGTGTGTGTGTGAGTGTGTGTGTGTGTGAGGGACAGGCCTTCTACCTGCTGCCCCGCTAACCCACCCACCCACACACACACACACATTCATACATAGTTACTTGCTTAATTTGTATTCCCACACACACATTAAATTTGTTGTTTATTTCTCTTTTTTTTTGTTAATTTATTTGTTTATTATTATTGTGCGACAGCCTCAGCGCGTTTAGCGTTTCTCTCTCTCTCTCTCTCTCTCTCTCGGTTGTCTCTGGGCCACATATGTTTTCTTTAGCTATCTATGCTTTGCGATTTGAAAATCTTTTGGTTTTTTCCTTTTGGTTTTTCAAATTTCCGCATTGTTATCGATGCTTTGTGCCCGCCTTCTCCGCCCATCGGCATATGGGTCTCGGTCTCGGTCTCGGTCTCGGTCTGGGTCTGGGCATGAGCCTATTGCCATGCCATTTATGTCTCCTTCTCGCTCTCTAAATATCTATCTATCTTTATCGTTTTTCGTTTCTATCTACATCTACTCTTTTCTGTTTCTTTGTGTTCCTCTTTCTTTCTTGTTATTTGCATTTGCGTGCCTATTTTATCAAAAACGAAAAAATTTATATATATATATACATATATACACATACATATGTATATTAAAAATTCTAGCATATCTCGCTGCTGGTCGAGCATACAAAAGGCTGTCCATGGGCCTCAGTGTGTGTGTGTGTGTGTGTATCTAGGGGTGTGTGCCTGTGTGTGTGTGTGTATATATCTGATATGCTATGCCTTTCGCTGCGTGCAAATATGCCAACATCCATAAACTAATTCAAATAGATTTTTGCGTGCGAATGATTCACAATAAATGTATATAGATAAGTATATATACATACATATATATATCGTATATAATATATAACTGACGAGTTTTACACGTACATACATATAACACTAATAACCTCGATTAGAAAACACTTATTGTCAAATTAGTTTTATCATTTCATTTTTGTTTTCTTCATTCTCTTTCCTAGCTATCTATAAGCTCATTGGAATAATAAATGGATTATATTGGTACCGCTCAATGTACATCTGTTTGTTGAACTATTTATTAGTCAGTGAATAAGTAAATAACTGAAGATATACCTAATATACACATAGGTAACCCCAGTTGACCATACTAGGGAAGAGACTAATGGATATTATCCTAATATACACATAGGTATCACCAGTTGACCACACTAGGGAAGAGCCTAATGGATATTATCTTAAATTAAACTTGGATATTGGATATTTGAAAATATTCCCGAGTAGAGTAGTAGACCACAGCCGACAGAAAAATATCTAAACTAGATATAGCTGAGCTCAAGGATACGAGGGAATCTAGATTATAGTGTGCTCCATTGACTTTATATAATATAATACTTGATCATTTCTATCACTTAGTTTTTGCTCCATGTGTTCCACTTGAAGGCCTATTACACAGTCGCTACCGTCTAAATGCAGTATTTATTACATTTTTTCACTCAATTCTCTTATCAGACTATTTACCAAAAGGTTGACCTTGTTTTTATTTGTCTGTTGTCTTTGACTGCTTCTTCTTCTTCTTTTTCTGCTGCTTGGTTTTATCATTTCCTTAGCTTTCTATTTTATCATGATGCTCAGTGCTATTTGCTTTTATTACTTCCGTTCTGCTTATCTGCTTTATAAGCTGTGTTAATGAGATTCATCTGCAGCATTCCAGCTAATTCGTTAGATCGTTAACTTGGTTTTATCTACAACATGCTTGCACTTCATATAGAGTAGAGCTTTATATAGCTTCCACTTGAATGCAGCTAAGCCCGACCACAGCAACAGCAACAGCAACAGCAACAATAACAAATTAGATGATGCATCGCATGTTTAATTCAACAGATTCACTAATTAACTTAGATCACATAATCTAGAAATTTTTGCACTTATTGTTGTTTTATGGCTGTGAAACGATCTGAAATTGTTTTTTGTTTTTTTCGGTTTTTTTTTAGTGATTTCTTCAAGAGATTCGTGCAGAGCACAGCAAGTACGTTCATTAAATACCTAATTAGGTTCTAGCTGAGACAGTTTTCTAACGCTGTTTTCTCGATCATGATAATGGCGATAGACGACGTATAAACCTTAAATTCTGCGTGATGTTATTTGGACTATTTGTGCTTTTGCTTCTTCAAGGTTTCTCGCTTAATTCAAATACAAAAACAATAAACACACATATCATTTCATTTGATTTGTGTAGCATAGTGTTTACTTTTCATCTTTGTTATAGAGTGTTAAGTAACATCTCTTTCTCTCTCTCTTCTCTCTCTCACTCCTCACTTCCCTTCTCCTTGTGGGCAATTATTTATTTATTAATTGCTGTCTGGCTTGCAATTTACTATATTTAATTGTTAATTTTTTAATTGTTTATTGCATTTTCATGAGACACAAACACATAAATTATTTGCTGCTACTCATTTTTTTTTTACACTTTTCCATTTGAATTTCTTTCGTAACTTCTTGTCTGAGTTTTACTTTCTTTTGCTATATATGTATGTAAAATCTTTTTTTTTTTTAAATTAAATTAACACTTTTTCACTTTTTTAACATTTTTATGCAATTTAATTTTTTCCCATTTTTTTGACACATTTTTTTTATATATATATATGTACTTTTGCATGCCAGATAAGAGCTGTGTCTATATAAAAAAATTTTAATTAGCTGTGATAAAAGGCAACGGAAAAAAAACTATTTTTGCTATTTGGCATTTACCACTTCGTTTTTTTTTTTTTTTTTGCTGCGAATTTCACAATATATATTTGCAGCGTGTACGCTGAACCTTTAATACGTATGTATGTATGTATATGTATGTGCGTGTGTGTGTAATAAATGTACGCTGCAATTTTCACCAATTTCTTCTTGGCACTTTTTTTTTTTTTTTTGCTGCTCATTATTATTATGAATGTTTCAACTTCATTATGTCTTAACACGTTAATGATGCTGATCATGATGATGATTATGTTGTTTTGGCTGCAATTGGATTGCATAGCGACAAACACACACACACACTCGCACACTTACATACATATATAGATGGAGCGAGAGAGACACGCAAACAGGTGTATCGGTCTATGGCGTGCCTGCTGGCCTAGACAGACTTGCGACTGGTCTCAAATAAAAGTGAAAATCGTTGTTTTTTTTTTTTTCATTTCTTTCTACAGCCGCAGCAGCAGCCGCAGCGAAAAAAGAGAAAAACAACAACAACAACAACTAGACGCGCAGAAAGTCTTTGCAAAGCAAAGCTCAAACAAGTGTAACTTAGCAGCTGTGCCTATGCGTGTGTGTGTGTGTGTGTTTGTGTGTGTGCGTGGTAATGTCCAAAACGCAAAAACAAATATGGATTCCGTGTAGAAGCAGCAAAAGCATTGCAAAGGCAGCCTGAACATGAAGAGGGGCGGTGGGTGGGAGTATACAATATCAAGCAGCAATTACCGTTTTTTTTTTTTTTTTTCGAAAAAAAAAAACAAGCGAAGACGACGCACCCGCGATAATTTACTTTGATTTACGTTTTCTTCTCGGTATTTTGTTGTAGCTGCGTGTTTTTATTTCTTTCACTTTATTTGTTTAACTTTGCTTCTATCGATAATTATTCAATTAAATTGTTTGCGATTTATTTTATGCACTTTTCACTTTAAATAACACGCACCAATTGCATATGCACACATTGAAATATATATGTATAATATTGAGACAACACAGCAAACAACAAACAACACAACTGTTATGATAATATTTCTGTTCAAAAATTTTGAAGCTAATGCGCCGCGAGCTCCGGTTTGTGGCAAGCGTTTGCGTTGCGTTGCGTTGCGCGTTTGAAAACGAAATGAATTGAAATGCTTATTAGAATATTCGCGAGTGAGCGCCAAACCGAAATAAAAAGCTTTTTCTGCCAGCAGCTGACGTCACGACGCTGTTCGAGTGAGTTTCGTTTCGCGTTGAGCGCAAGTGGTTAGTGGTGGTGGTGAGAGAGAGAGAGCAGCCGCAGTCGCTGTCACTGCCGACAGCGCGTTGACTGCGGCGCAGGGGCTTTGAGTGACTTTTGAGTGTGCGCTTGTTTTAGTTTTGTGTGTTTTTTTTTTAGTTTTTGAGAAGGGCAAGCATATAAACATAGCGGGCGCTGCAGGTAGATTCTGACGGTCGCTCGGTTAGTCGGTCGCTGCCCGCTGCAATGCGACTTGCTCACTCACTCGCTCACTCACTCAACCGAGCGCTCAGCTGATAGCGCGATCATGCACTTTGCTGGTGTGCCTATATGTATGTGTGTGTGTGTTGATATATGTGTGTGCTGCTTTTTTTTCTACCATATTTGTGCTGCATTTTTGCTGCTTGCGCGTTTTCGATTTCATTATTTTTGTACATTTATTTAATTTCCATGCAAAGGCAAAAGCCAAAAGCTTTTGTGTTTGTGCAAACAAGTTTTCGTTTTCGTTTTTTGTCTTTGTTGTTATTGTTTTTGTCGTTTTACTGTTGCCGTTGCTGCCGCAACGCAAATTGTTTAAATACTTCTTTTGCTATGTTTTGACGTTTGCCTTAGCTGTGTCCAGTTTATTTTTAGATTGCTATTTTTTACTAATTACCCGCTAGACCGCTGTTTGTATATCTCTATCTTTCTTCCTCTCTCTCCCCCTCTCGTTCGCCCTTCCTTTGGCAGCCGAAAAAAACAAATCAACCGCAATGAGGCCCGACAAATGGACAAAAGCTGATAAGCGTGCGCCGCTTAGAAAGGAAATATGTACACAGACAGACACACACACACACACATTGTCACACGCATAGCCCAAAGCTCAAACACAATGCAGCAGCAGCGGCAGCGGCAGCGCCAGCAGCTGATGAAGCAAAGGCAAAGATAAGCAGCAAATGCAGAAGAAGCAACAACAACAAAGCTTTTGATTCTAATTCAAGCTCTGAACGCGGCTTAGCGCAGATCAAAACAAGAAAATGAGAGAGAAAAAAATTATGTAATGCCAAAGCTTGCCGAAAATAGATTAACGGCACAACAGCAACAACAGTAAATGTGGCAAGTGTAGATATACATATAAATATTTTGCTTATAATTAAACAGTTTAATAATAATTGCCATATATTTTTGCTCTTTTTATTTGTGTATTCATAATTTTTATTTTTAATTTTTTGATTTAATTGTGTTTTGTATTTTTTTAAAATAATTTTTGTTGTCATTTAAATTGTGTTGGCCTTTCAATTTCGCAGGCATAATCGTAAACAGCAAGCTTTATATACACATACAGTTATATGTATATGTATGCATGTACCGTTACTTTGGCATTTCGATGGAGAACGCAATGATCGGCACTTATTGTGAATGCTGCTAGCTGCTAGCTGGCTGGCTGCTGGCCCATGGTTCAATGTTAATCAACGGCTCAAATCAACAGCAACAACAACAACAGCAACAGCAACAATAACTCTGTACACACACCCAAAAATACACACACATACACACACTCAACAAGTAACGCAATTCAAAAGATTAATGTTTATTTTTTTTTTTCTGTTCAGCCTTTATGATGGATGGTTTGCCCCTTCGCACAAGTAAGCACTGCACAAAACTTTAATTTCAGCCATCGCACGCTAATGTATCTTGCAGATACACACACACATACACATGCACATGCACAGAGTTACTTTTGGCTGCACTGCATTACAAACAGCCGCAACTTTTGCGTGTCTCCGCTTCGCTTAATGCCGCTGCCCCGTGTCTCTACCCCAGCCGCTCCACCTTCTCCCCTGCTCGCCTGCTCAACGTCATCCACATCTCTGCTCTGCCTTGGCTCTATTATTAATGCCATTTATTGCATGTATCTGTAAGCTATGTATCTGTATCTGTATCTCTAGCTGTATCCATAGCCAACACTTGTTGCTGCTGCGGCAGCTGCTGTTACCGTTGTTGTTGCTGGCGTTGTTGCTGGCGTTGTCTTTGGCCAGAGACTCGCGCATTCGCTTCACTGTGCCACTCAGTCACAAGACATTCAATGTGACCCTGACCTAATAAGTTTTAGCATTGTTTTTGCTAGCTCCCCCACTCTCTCTCTCTCTCTCTCTCTCTCTCTCTCGCACTCTCTCGCTATCGCTTTTTGCATCTTGCAATTGCCTGACTTGCATTGAAATTCCAGAAAAATTTAGTTAATGCCAGACAACGCAACTGATTAATTATATGTTATACATAATTTATGTGATAAATCCATTAGCCGAAGCCTTGAATGGTTTTTTTTTACAATTCCCAAGCAGTTTAAGCGCGAGTGAAATACGAGTAACTCCACTCCGGCTGGTCTAATAATAGGTATAGAGTTAGATAAATAGATAGATTCATGTAAACGATAGTCGAGCAATATTATTAGGCGCTTATTAAATATTTCAGTTTGAGGAGCAATGCGAGCAACAGAATTTGCACTTTCTATATAAATATGCTCTATTGATGTAATATATATTATATTAGTTATATTGTTAAGGGCATTTTAAATTATTTTATTAGTATTATTATTAGTCTGTTATCTATATATGCAGTCTGCATGTATTTAATATCATTCGCAATGTTTTTCTATAACGTATACGGTTTTTTTTTTTTTTTTTTTTTTCATTGTAAATTTTAATATTAATGATTATTAAAGGTATTGCATGCGCTATCAGCTCTTATGTTCATTCATTAATATTATATGTTATATACATTTTTAACGTATTAACATATTGACTTTACAGCCCGCTTTTTGTTTACAGTGCAATAACATTCTTATATACCAAAATAAAAACAAGAAAAACCCTGCCACAAGGCTGTTTTCTAGACATTCCAGTAACAACAACAACGCTTTAGACATGGTCGAGGCTATTTTAGTTACTTGATTTATTTGTGGCTATTGCTGTTGTTGTTGTTGTTGTTGTCATTACTGGTGCTGCTGCTTTATGTGCCAACGAAAGTGCGATTCACAGCTTGGCCATCGCCAGTTCCAATTCCAATACCAATACCAAAATCGAATCAAATCGATACGAATTCGTGCATTCAATTGAATTGAATTGAATTGAATTCTAGCGCGCCTTCCACACGATGCAAATGAGGCTTAATTATTATGCCGGGCTTGGCAGCAAGTGCCAAATTGAAACCGGTTCGACCGACATTTCAAATACGTGTATACGCGCCGGACTACAATTCAATTATACAACTAGACGGGCGGCACATAAAGGGGAGACGCGACGCGACCGTTTGAGCCAAGTCAAAACCTTGTTTAGAGCCAGGCCAAGACACAAACAACAACAACAACAAGAAGAGATTCACTTGCGGTTTTATTATATTTTTTTTTGGCATAGTTTCACATACCTTTGGCTTAGTGGGCGGCGAGGCGTGGCTTGACGGCCTTTGCCGGACATGAAGCGAAAATGAAAGTGCAGCGGTACACTGCGAGAATTTGGAAGTGTGACGGAAGTGAATTTTGGTGACTTTGATAAGAGAGCTGCCCCTACCGCTGCCTCTACCTCCGCTCCTATGCGTTCCTCTACTTCGGCCTCTACCTCTACCTCTGCCCTAGGCTCTAGCTCTTGCCTCTACTTCGGCCTCAGTCTCTGCCTCTGCTCCTATCTCTGGCCTCTACCTCCGCCTCTACCTCTGCCCCAAGCTCTATCTCTCACCTCTACCTCTGTCTCTACCTATTATTGCCCCTAATTCGTCCTCTGCCTCTACCCTCTGCCCCCATCTCTGGCCTCTACCTCTGCCTCAGGCTCTATCTCTTGCCTCTACTTCTGCCTCAACCTCTGCCCTACCCTCTACCCTCTGCTCCTATCTCTGGCCTCTACCTCTCTCACTTAATGTCTTATTACAGGGTATCCACTCGCATTGTACGTCCATGCTTTGTCTGTGTCTAGGCACTATTATTGATGTGGCTTTCGTTTGACGTCGTTTCGTTTCTGTATTAGTTTTCAGTTAATCTTGACCCGACGCTACGCAAAACGTGACCAGGTGAGCTGCCAGGTGTAACGGGCGACCATGGTGCGACACATACGCGAGTCTATATTTACGGCAATAGCACGACACCAAAAATAAATTTGAATAATTAAATTACTTTTGTGTGTGTATTGTTCCGTCTTTTGCGCTTTCTGCTTTTTCTTTTTCGCTCTCTCTCTCTCTATCTCTCTTTCTCTCTCTTTATCATTAGCTGCGCTTCTTCGTTGCGCTGCATTTTTATGCCTAAATTTAGATAACAGAAAAAAAAAGCAACAGCAAAAAACTGAATTGGGACAGACACTGAGACAGTTATATAATCAACAGACATACACACACACAAAAAAACTCTCTAATTGATCAATGAAGACACACACACAAGCAATTTGTCATTAAAAATTATGATATCTTGTGAAAATGAGTAAGCAGGGCACAAATGTTCGTGTTGAAAGGTATTTAATGGGCGACGTGGGCGAAACTATAAATTTTTAGATATTCTTGAAGACGAAACGATTGGAAATAGTCGTACTCTATTGGCATATATATTTGCTACTGCTTGATTGAGTTATAGGTCTCTCTCTTAGTATCGAGTATCCTAGTATCCTTTCCTCGTACAGCCTTTTAGCTACTCCCTATATATTCCAATCTGTCTCCTTCTACTTCTTGACATATTCATAAATTAAAATGCCACAAGGTATCCCTCAGTCGAGCACTCCCCGCCTGCTATAACACTCTTACTTATTGCTATTTAGCACTGTGTGAAAAATCAAATTGCAGAGTTCATAACCAGAAAAAAACCAACAAAAATTATGGCTAGCAACAAAAAAAAAAAACCTGCTAAACAATTTGCTTCGATTGCCATAAAAAAAAATTAATTAGAAAGTAAAAAAAGTACTAAAAATTTAGCATATAAACAAATTATAATCAACCTAATTAGGTACAATTGTAGCTATGCAAATTATATGGAATATGACTAAAAATATGCAGGAGTATATACATACAATATAGACGTAGATATATAAATGTATTATACATATCAGTCAGACATCAAATAGATTTTATTATGGGTAATATGGGAGAATTTGATTGTTAGATGGTATAGATCTATGCTCTTCTCACATTCCTATTGCCTTTCCTAAGTATTCCACCTTAAGGAACACCTCTATTTATAAGTCTATCTATCCTTAACAATATATACATACATCATTCTCGATTCTCTCATCAAAGCTTTTGTTTGTTTCACTAGGGAAAAATGTTGGCCTCTGTTAGGATCGGACAAACAATGGAATTTTATGCAAATAGAGGCGTGCAAATTGCGAACGCATTTGTGCAAATATTTTTAAATATTATTATTATACTATAGCTATAGTTGTTGTTTCTTATATGCCATCAGTTTCGTTTTCAGTTCGATTTGTGTACATTACCAACAAACAGGTGTCGACAGGTGCCTGTGTGTGTGCGCGTGTGTGTGTGTGTGGATAGCGTTATTTACCTGCAATTGAAAACGAAAGATACGTTAAAAAAGGCAAATTCCAAGAAGCATTTCTTGTATCTCTTAATAACTAGCAATAAGAACAGACATTCGATTGCCTTGGGCCAGCCAAAATGTGGGAGTGTAATAGAGAATGCGATAAGAATTAGTTTCCATTTGTATTGGCCTCATTCTTTTGCTTAATTGCTTTAGTTGCCAATCTCTGGCTAGGTTGTAATTCTCAATTAGTTCAGGCGTTGCTCAAGTGCAAGTAATCAATATTACAGAGCTGTAAATATTAGTTGTACCATCTGTATATATAAGTATTATTTCTATATATTATGTAGCATGAAGATAATTTGTTTCTGTATCTATATATTTTCTTCATTATTCATTACGATTTCTCCTGTCTATCTATCTCTATTTTCTCTATCTCCAAGTTTCCATCTCTTTCTATGGAATGGATCTTCAAACTCCTCTGCCTTAGATGTTTTCTTTTCTGTGTATAGTTTCCTATGTATCTCTCTCATAAGATTATCAAATTTCTTGATCTATTTTCCCATAATCCTTTCTATTTGGCATTGTTATGCTCGCTCTATATTTGCTGTTCCATTAAATTCTTCATTTCTTTTAGACCTTTTCTTTCCCAATCGTCTCCATTTTACACTTCCTTCTAGATTTTTGCAGCTCTCTCCATCTCTCACTCTGTCACTCTATATTTATTTCTTCCTTTTACTTATCTGAATATTCTGTGCTACTTCTCCTTCTCGCTCCTTCTAGGTTTCTCTAGCTCCTACCATCTATCTCTCTGTCATGCTCTCCTTCAATGATGCTGTATCTCACTAGCTCTCTGTCTCTCTCTCTCTCTCTCTCTCCCTCTCTCTCTCTCTCTCTCCCTCTCTCTCTCTCTCTCT